GCCTGTGGGTCCCCACGGGGGCGGGGCCTGCGGGTCCCCCACGGGGGCGGGGCCTGCGGGTCCCCCACGGGGGCGGGGCCAGGGCCCGCTGGTCTCCACAGGAGCGGCCCGCAGCTCCCGCACCCACATCGGTTTCCCGCCCTCTCCCTCCTCTGTAGAGAAGTCCAACCTGGTGGTGGTGCGGGGCGGGTACGGCCTGGCCCCGCAGGCCTGCGCCGCACCCCGTGGCCCCCGCAAGCCGGGCCCCATGACCTTCCACACCATCCCGGCCCACAGCCTGCAGCGGGTAAGCCGCCGTCCCGGGACCGCTCCCCCGTGCTCCCCCCGGGAGACCCCTCTCCCCCCGCTCACGACCGCCACCCCATACGCCAGCACGAGAACCTGGGCCACGGGTCCTTCACCAAGATCTACCGGGGCCTCCGCCACGAGGCCGTGGACGGGGAGGCCCGCGAGACCGAGGTGCTGCTGAAGGTGATGGACGCCACGCACAGGCACTGCATGGAGGTGAGGGCCGCGGGCCGCGCTGGGCGGGCGGGGAGCTGAGCGAGCTGGGAACCATCGGTGTCATCCTGCCTTCTTTCCCGGCCCCGCAGTCCTTCCTGGAAGCTGCCAGCCTGATGAGCCAGGTCTCCTACCCGCATCTGGTGCTGCTGCACGGCGTGTGCATGGCTGGCGACAGTGAGGCCCCGCCCCCGCTGGGACCCCGCCCCCAAGCCAGGCAGCCGCCGAGGCCCCTCCTTCACCCGTTACCCGAGTCCCGCTCACCACGCCACGCAAACCACCGAAGCCCCGCCCACCACGTCACACAACCCACCGAGGCCCCGCCCTCAGGCCCCGCCTCAATTCAGCGCCTTCCGGAGCCCCGCCCACAATGCCCAGCTCGAGGCCCCGCCTGGGGAGCCCCGCCCAGCCACCACATCCTGCTTCACCTACGTTGCTTAACGCTGCTCGCCCTCACCCCCACCCCACGCGTGGCCTCCCAGCCCTCCACCCCGGGCGGGGCAGCTCCAGGGTCCCCCTTGGTGTCCAAACCTAGAATGTTTTCAAGCTGCACAGACCCTGGTTTCTGACTCCCTTTACTGTGCAGAGCTTTTTGGGCATGCATACCTTCTCTGAACGCCAGTTCGTTGATTCCCATCAGCAGCTGTTTATCAGGGGAGCTGGGGTGGGGGCGCAGCTCCTGGACTGCAGCTCGGTTCCCCACCCCAGGCACCATGGTGCAGGAATTTGTCCCCCTGGGAGCCGTGGACACGTACCTGCTCAAGCGTGGCCAGCAGGTGCCGGCCAGCTGGAAGCTGCAGGTCATCAAACAGCTGGCCTACGCCCTCAGCTACCTGGTGAGCCGCCGCCGCTGGAGAGGGGAGCGGGCTGTTGTGTCCATCCGGCGTCCGCCTGCGTGAGGCCGGCGCGGGGCAGGAGGGCAGCGCCAAGGAGGCCCCGGGAGCGGGGACTTGCGGGACTTTGCTCTAAAGGCAGCGCGTGAGAAGAGCAGGCCGCTCGGAAGGCGGAGTGTGGGTAGCTCCGGGCACTGTCCCATGGGCTCTGAGGGGTGTGTACGAGTTTGCCAGCAGCCTTTTCCCCTGCACCCCATGTCCTGCCCACTCAGGAGGACAAAGAGCTGCCTCACGGCAACGTGTCCGCGCGGAAGGTGCTGCTGGCTCGGGAAGGGGCCGACGGGAGCCCCCCTTTCATCAAGCTGAGCGACCCCGGGGTCAGCCCCACAGTGCTCAGCCTGGAAAGTACGTGTCAGGGGCGGGGGGGGGCGGGCCGACCCGAGGAGCACGCGCCTGAGCCGCCCGGCCCGGCCCTCCCCTCAGTGCTCACCGACAGGATCCCCTGGGTGGCCCCCGAGTGCCTGCAGTGCCCCCGGGAGCCGCAGGCCCTGGGCCTGGAAGCCGACAAGTGGGGCTTCGGCGCCACGGCCTGGGAGGTGTTCAGTGGCGCCCCGATGCCCGTCAGCGCGCTGGAGCCCGCCGAGGTCAGAGGCCAGGCCGGGAGCCTTCCCGTGGCGGGGCGGGGGTTCCCAGGGCGCACCGGGCCCACCGCCCTCCTCCCGCAGAAACTCAGGTTCTACGAGCAGCGGCAGCAGCTGCCGCCGCCCAAGTGGACAGAGCTGGCCTCGCTGATCCAGGACTGCATGGCCTACGAGCCGGGCCGGCGGCCCTCCTTCCGGGCTGTCATCCGGGACCTAAACAGCCTCACCACGTCAGGTCCGCGGGGCGCGCGGCAGGGTGGGCGGGGCGCGCAGGGGGCCGGAAGGGTGGGCAGAGTGGGCGGGGCGCTCAGGGGGCCGGAAGGGTGGGCAGAGTGGGCG